CCAATCAAGATGGCCGAAGATGCTAAAGCCAGATGGCGGTGAGGTGAAGATGGCGGCACTGGAGTTCACAGACAATGCATTACTAGAGGGGAGCTGAGTCTAGTGGGGACTGTAGTTCTGCTTATATGACATTGGTGCTTGATTGTATAGTATTAGGGATGCATCGATACCAAGTACCGTACTCGATACAAGTACAAGTACATGTACAGATACTTTTCGAGCTCCAAGACTAGACTAGAGAAAAACTCAAAAGTTAGTAAGGAGCATACGGAGCACCTGGGATTTGTACATTTTAATGTACGATTTTGTTTTTATAAATATAAATAAAAGGATGCAATGATACCATTTTTGCAAGTACAAGTACTGCTACTTACCCAAGTACTCACAGCTACAAGTACAGATACATTTTTGTTTAGTGTCATGTGACAGTTTTCCTAAAGCAATACAGACTAATGATTTCAGGACAATGGTGGAGCACCAGAGCCATGTCCCAGCTGCAACCTCTGCAACCCTGGTAGTTCTCATGAAAATGCCAAGTATCTGAACTGGTATTGGTGGATCTCTATATATTATTTAATAATATGATTATTTACTTCTCAAATGAAACAAAATAAAGAATGACAATATTGAGGTTTAGTTGATTACAATCTTCACACATTTGTCTTTCACTTTCTAACAAATGTGAACTCAATCAAAGCACATAGGGCCTAAGTCAATGGGCTTTGGCGATGACATTAGTTTGACAGATGTTTTGAGGTCTTTCAGAATCCATTGACAGGTACACATAACCTGCAGTTAACCTTCTTCTGACCTGCATTTGACTGCATTTGGCATTCCTATAGACTTGTATGGAAATGCACAACCGGCTTGAAGCAAACAAAAGTCCATCAGCACAAGCCCTTTAATTAAACATTTTGGACTACACCAGACAGTTCCTAATGTACTACTACTTAGCACTCACCTCATAGTTCTCCTTTAAAGACTATCCTAAACTAAATGTAGGTTTGCTTTTAAATATAAATTTGAAGGAACAAGAAAAGCAAGGCAGCAAATGAACAGCACCAGGTAGCTGCAGGACAATAGGGCTGATATCAAGATCACTACAGGCAACCAGCTCCCATACACAGTTATTAATACTGTGGCAGTGCGTGGCAATGCCACCGTGTTATCTTCTGTGTCCAGAATTTGAGTGGCCAGCGCATGCTGATGGCACAGGTGTGCACAGCCTTTAAAATAAAGGTGTTGGGAAGGGTTCAAGGCTCCTCCTGGGAGACAGGAAAACTCCACCCAGGAGTCAGAGTGGAGTCCCATGTAGCAGATTGGAAAAGCCAAGTGTGCAGTTTAGTACGAGACTGAGACTGTCTGGAGGAACAGACAATGGCCTGAGGTCTAAGACCAGAGCAGCGGTGCTGCAAATGCAAAGCCAGGAGGCTAGATGTGTATGTGTTGCCAATATATGCTAAAGAACCCCTGCAAGGGTAATTGTTCTTGTTTGTGAACTGTCATTTAATAAAAGTGGGCAAGGAAGCCCTGAAATGAAGATTTCTGCAAGTGGATGCGTTCTTAATGCACTACTGTTTGGAGCGAAATCTCACAATACATTTTATCACTTCATACATGTCTTCATGCGTGTCCAATAGGCTGCCATACAGAGTTACTACGTCTCTGCACAATTGCCGATAATAGCCCACTAAGCCTTTTCCCCTTTTTACCACAATTTTATGCCAGATGCAAAACACCGCTCTGCTACATGTCAAGGTGCAAGTAAGGCAGGTGAAGGGAGTGTTGATCCTATCTCCTGCCATAAGACATTCAGACAGCTGTCAAAACTAGTGTTATGCTGTGGAGATTAGGAAAGAACTGAGCTCTAGCTTAAAATGCCGAATAAGGATTTGTTTAAGCATGTGCTGGGGATTTTCTATATTTTTTTTTTATATTGTTGGTTCAGTAAAGAAAGCATGTTAAAAGTGCAATTTCTGCATTTGTTACCAGTTGCAGAAAAAAAATGAAATGCTTTGTGCATTTAATAGGGTTTAAAGATTGGAGCAGCCATTATCTTTATAAGACATTTTGGGCCCCACTGAATAATTATATCTAAAAAAAACTGTGTTGCCCCTAGCAACTAGTCAGTGTCTTTCTTTTATGTTATCAGATAGATGATTGTTTGGTGTGAAAGGGATCACCTGATAGGCAACACAGAATTCCTACCTGGACACTGGATCAGAAAGTCCTATAGAATTTTATTGATGTGTGTTCCCATTTGGGAGATCTAACCTTACTTTATGACAAAGGTCCATAGGAAAGAAAGTGTGTGTTGGGGGGAAAGGGGAGTTGCAACTGAAACAGGAGTAGAGGGGACATCTTCCAGTAGGCTCAACCCTCACACATCCACTCCCGCTAATGGAACCACGGTGCCAGATGAGGCTTCCGTCTGAGCCTTAAGGGCCCGTTCACACCAGTTGCAGTGCGTTCCGGCACGATTCTGGCCAGAACGCACTGCCTCCGGTTCACTTTTTAGTGGGGCAGGAGGGGGCGTGGCGGGCCATTGAAGTGAATGGCACCGTAGCCACGCCCTCCAGCCCCAATGCGATCGCCCGGACGGGATCGCAAGGCACATTCTGGGTCCGGTCCGGTGCAGTGCGATCAAAAAAGTGCTTGCAGCATTTTGATCGCACTGCACCAGACCGCAGGCACAATGTTCCTTGCTATCCCGTGCGGGCGATCGCATTGTGACCGGAGGGCATGGCTACGGTGCCATTCACTTCAATGGCCCGCCACGCCCCCCTCCTGCCCCACTAAAAAGTGAGCAGGCCGCAATGTGAGGCAGTGCGTTATGGCCAGAACCACCCGCATGCACTGCAACTGGTGTGAACAGTCCCCTAACCCAAGAGTCCATAGAAAACCAACACTCAAAACAGGATACGTCCAATAATATCAATTTATTCCCAAAGGGGAATACAAACAATCAATAACAAACCTCTGACACATTTCAACCTCACAGCTGAGCCTAGTTCACTAAAGTTCAGTTGTGGGGCCAAAACGTGTCAGGAAAGCTTGAAATTGACTATTTTTACGCCTTTTTGAGAATACGTTGATATTTTTGGACTGATTCCGTTTTGAGTGGTAGTTTTCTATGTACTTATGTTTATCACATACTTCCTGTAGTATCTCTAGGGACAAGAACTCCAGGGAAACTTTTTCAATGAGGGACAGAGATATCAATAAAAACCTAACAAAGGTTTAACCCAGGGGTGCCCACAATTTTTTGTGATCAGATCTACTTTTCATATGATAAGCACAATGTGATCTACCAATGGAAAAACACCTTGATTTTAAAAACAAACACATTAATATGCTTACTGGGACAACTGCACAAATCTTCCTATTGAATAAACCTAATAATTAAGTTGTATCTCCTCTCTCTCCTGGCTATCTATCCTCTCTCTCTCTTCACTCTTTCCCCTGGCTGTCTCTCCTCGCTCTTTCCCCTGGCTGTCTCTCTCTCTCTCTCTCCTCTGTCTCTACTCTATTCATATATTATATGATTATGATCCCGTATAAATTCAAAATCTTGCTCTTGTGGTAACACACAAGGAGACAATCCGTTGTCACGTCTCAGGTAATGTGCCGCCCACTGGCGGAACTACCAGGGTCGCAGCGGTCACAATTGCGACCGGGCCCTGGCGTTCCTGCCAGAAGATTATTCAGCAATGCAGAATAGCACCAACTATGTAGGACTACAAGTCCCAGCAATGCATTATAGTGGGGGGATGCTGGTGGTATTCTGCATAACTGACTTTTATTATAATATATTGTTGGGACTTGAAGTCCTGCATAGCTGGTGGTGTTCTGCGTTGCTGTATAATTATTATACAGCAATGCAGAATAGCTCCAACTATGTAGGACTACAAGTCCCAGCAATACATTATATTTTTAGGTAGGGATACACCAGTGCCAATACTTGGCCGACGTAGTCAGATTTGCCGACTTCAGCATCTACGCTTGCGCACAGACCAGTATTATTGAGGGAACAGGGATCTATTCACAAAGTATTTCGTTTAAATCGTTAATTGTGACTGTTAATAATATTCCATCCATCATTTACTGCCATGGACGGCATATTATTAACGGTCACAATTAACCATTGCAAACGAATACTTTGTAAATAAATGGCGGTTTCCTCGTTAATCCCGTCTGTATGTAAGCGCAGATACTGGGCCAGCGTTCTCGACAGAACACAGGCACTAACATTTTAAACAAGCGGCTGCCTGAGGTCCCGCGCTTAGGAACCTCGGCAGCCTTCCTGTTAACCATGCGGTGGCATGGCGGTTGGGGGTGGGGGTCATGGTTTCTTGCACCAGGGCCCTGAAGGTTCTAGTTATGCCTCTGGTGCCGCCTGTGTGCAATAATTAGCAGTTACAGCGCTCCAAGGAGTCTGCCTGAGGTTGGTGTAATTAATGGAAGAGTACTGTATGGGATATCACTACGATGAGACAAGTTTTTTTTGTACACCCACCTGCCACGTAGGGGACAAGTGGAGACACTGTTGAGGTGTTGCACTGACCAGCTTTGGATGTAACCATTTATTATCTGTAACTATTAAGCCTCGCATTTAATCACACACCACTTGAGGGGATCAAGCCCAAAGGCGACCACTCACAACCTACCTGGCACAGAATCACCAATAGGGGGTCACCCACCTGCCACGGAAGGGACAAGTGGAGACCGGTGGCATCGGTGCTAATTCTTACACTCTGCAGACTACTGCCGAGACGCCCCTCCCCCTCCAACTTCCTGGTGCTAGCAGCCAGGAGGATTACAGTGCCCAGGCTGCTGCGGCATGGTGATTGTGTGATGCGCCACCTGGGGAACTGCGATCGCGATCTACCAGTGTTAGCTTTGCGATCGACTGGTAGATCACGATCAACTTAATGGGCACCCCTAGTTTAAACCCTTCACTGAGATGATAAATGTATAAGATTCAAATAGACATAACATACCTTTTTTCCTGAAACACTTGAAGCAAGCTTGTCTTTTCAAGTAAATTATTACTACAGATAATATAACCATTAAAACCAAGCAAGGAATGATGATTTTCATTGTAATCAAAGGGTCATAATAATCAGTATCTGGAGAAAAAGTAAAAAGAAATTCACAGGATTAACCCAATCTATTAACCAATAAACTCAAACAATGTGATGGTACATTATTTAAGTCAGAGTTTAAAAATCATGCATTTAATGCCAGTGTTTTCCATTCTCAGCCTTCATTGTTTAAAATACATGTTTCTGGGTGATCTTTTCAAGGAATCATATAAGCCCTTGGTTTCTGAACTTAATCAGAGCACTGACAGGCCAGAAAAGGTTCAGACTGTTCTAGCAGAATTTGTCTTGGGACTGGCTGGGTACAAAGGGTGGCCTTACACTGTGCTAACCCATAACAGAACCAGAGAGTGAATAACATAGCATAAATAACTTGTCCAAATATGGACTTTTCATATGCAGATTCTATGCTTAGCATAGAAGGAAAAAGCTGCACTTAAAGTTCCAGGCTACCTTCATGAAATGCTGACCACTAAAATGAGGGAGGTGACAACTAAATGTGAACCCTTAAAAAATAGGAAATGTTGTGAGAGCTTTTCTAAAATATGTTCGAACTGTTCAGTAAAACAAACATATGATCACTATTATCGGTTATATTATTGTCGTACATTGCCTACAGCTTTTTTCTTCCTTGTAAAACTGGAATTACATGTAATATTTCTGACCTACACTGATATACAGTATATTGTGGCAATTATTCCTGTCAACATAATGTGAACGTTTCCTGTATGTAGCAAAGTCCAAATCAGAGCATAAGGAAGTTGGCTAATGAAATAAGAGCCTGACTTTCCCCGTGTTTTTTTCTGTGGCTATGACTAACTATTGTACATAGTACATGTGACTGAACAATAGTATGCAAACATTATAAAGGCAGATATTGTTCTGACTTTATTTTTATGTGATCAAAATGAACAGTAATTCTTCACAATACTCTGTTTCATTTAAGCTGTGACTTACCTACAGCGTGCAACTACATTATTATCATTCCTTATTTAAGTGTTATTTTAAATAGTTGTCATTGCACTGGCAATGTATTATTTTTATGTTTAAAGTGAACCTTTACTTTCAAATATATATATACAGTATATAGAACAGCAATATTAATGATAGCAACCACCCTCAGGAAGAGCATTGCCATATGTAAATGGAGACTTTGCTTTACAAAGTCGGCAGCTGTCCTGCCCCCTTCTGCTTAGCACATGATGGGCAGACTCAAAAGCAATATTTTTACATTAATATTCTCTTTAAATAAAAGGGAGAAAAATGTCTCCCCCCCCCCCCCCCCAACTACATGCTAAAAGTTTTCATATGGGATATATTTGTCGTAAAGGACAACTATCATTATGTAATAATTTTTTTATAGATATGTTCAGTATAGTTATCTAAGCAATAATCAATACAATCTTTAAAAAAACTACTTGCTCATACTGTAGACATGGTTCACAAACGTAATAGATGCTTTTTTTTATATAAAGGAAGCTTACATTTATAAAAACTATTCCAATCCCACTTTTTTTGAATATATGATACTTTATATATTATGGGGACATTCTGCCGATCCCAGAAATCTAGGCTGTGCATTAACATCTCCACTCACCGAATGTAGAACAGGCACATGACTGTGTGTGCTCTGGAGCAGACCTACTAGTGAGGGTACAGCTTTTAATAAACATTGTATCTGTTGATCAACATCTGATCAATGACTGCCCATGCATTAGCTGGCCATACTATTGCAGTCCCTTTCTATTGCTTATACATATGTGCAAATAAAACTGAAGAAATCTGTTTCAGAAAATAACAACAGAACAAGCATGGCTATAGTTATACTATTATTAAGGCTATTATTGGGACTAGGTTTGAGTCTTTTGTAAATGCTAGGGATATCAACTCTTGGAAATTATTTCATGATTTATTTAAAAAAAACTTCACATGACAAACAAAATTCATTATTTTTAGGGATGAATTTTTTGCTTTAGTTCCTTTACTGGATTTTTTTAAAACTTGGTGCAGAATAATAATGCTGGTCTTGCTCTTTGGTCATTAGGGTAGCCAGTGTTTCTTTTCTGTGGTTGGACAGGGCAGCCAATGGTCAAGGTCTGTGGTGTCTAGATAGGACACATGATGGTGGCAGACTGTGAACTATAACAGAGCACACTTCTCAGTAATTTCCCCAGTGCAATTAGGGGCAGTCCAATTTTGAATTTTACCTCACTTTCAGTCTCAATGACAGTGGTCACTTGGACAAGAAGAAAGGGTGAATCTCCCAAGTGGAGATACAGACAACAAAAAAAGAAAAAGTCAAACAGGTAAGTGAGTGCCACCAAATAGCCATTCATTTTATGCAGTAATGTGACTGGCTATGAACAGTCAGCTTGCACAGGAGCCTCAGAAGCTTACCTAGATTGGAAATAGAAGAAAAAGTAGTAACACCAATCTAGCCTTCATATATGGTGTTCTTTTTATAAAAATCCTAACCAGGTCAATAACCCTTCCATACTCTATACAAAATGCTTAAAAAAGAACTCCGGATAAAACATTTCCTAACTGCTCATTTTGGTCTAGGTGTAAAAATAACAAAGTTATATTCACCCAAACCTCACTGCTGACTGGCTGGCTATTACAGCGCTCCCTTCAGCCTGTCTGCTCCTCCACTGCAGCGATGGTATGTCCCTCAGTGTCCTATACACTGTGTATTGGACGTGATGACTCAAGGGACCTTAGACCACTGCAGTGGAAGGGAAGAGAGGCTGGAAGGACCATTCTAAGAGCCAGCTAGCCAGGATGGAGTGAGTGTAACTTTTTTATTTTAGCACCTAGATAAAAATGAGCACTTAAACCCTTGCCGTGTGGAAGTAGCCCCACTGCAAGGGTTGACAAAAATTTTGCCCAGTGTTCTTCTTTAAAATAAGTTGTGCCTTTAGATACACTTCAAATTCCACTGTCGGCTTAAAGATCAGTATTACAACTCTTCTTCCTGTTTTAAAGATCAATGTACACGCAGAACTCACAATCCACAATTCATACACTAACTATTAAAAAAAAGCAAGCATAATTCTGCTATTTTCTTTCAAAAGCTCTATGTGCTTGCCCCTGTTTGCCCTGTGACATAATATTAGTGTATTTGTATGACTGTATGACACCTTTTCAGTGATGTGCAAAAACTAAATGAAGCAGCAAGAAAGGGTGTAAATAGTCATCTGGCAGACCAAGCACACAGTGTAATAGTGTACTTATCAGAAAGCTCATCAATTCTGCTATATTTACCATAAATAAACTACCATCTACACAGAAACATGTTAGAAGGAAATTGCAGAGAAGCCCCCATGGTTTATAGATATTATGGTCTAATGTTAGTTACATAAAACATGCATGCATTAAGGTCAAGGTGGTAGCCAAATAACTTAGTAGTATGTTTTTGGGGTTTTGGGAGGAAACTTGTTTAAACACAAAGAGAACATACAAATGTCATTTACATCTCATTTACATCATTTACATAAATGTAATTTACATGCGCTTAGTATTGTACGATGAGAACAAAACAATTGTTGCAGCACTGCAATTGTTGAAGCCCTACAATGCAAAATTATAAAATGTATTTAAAGACTCAGAATAGGAGTAATAGCACATTAGGTAATGTAATTAGCATAAAATGTTATCTTCTTTGTAACTGATCCCCTCATTTCTCCACTTTCTTCTGTTTTAACTGATGTCAGGGTTTGGGGAAACCTATAGTTTTCTATAAACACATACTGTATAAGCCTGAGGAACTGAATGTAAATTTACATAAAAATAGATTTACTTTACTAACCCTAATTACCTCTTCCACTGGCAGGCAGATTTATTAAAATAAACCTCATGGTGGACTTATACTATCATGGGGTAAGGTATTCCCATCTAGAATAGCCACTATGTTAGAGTATTAGTATTTAGTATTTAGAAACTATTTTGCATAAACATGGTTTTAACAACATATGTGGATAAATATCTAAAAGGGTTAGAAAAATATCAGAAAAGAGAGATGTCAGCAACATAGCAGGAAGCTATATTTAAAAATATACTCTGACCTACTGTACAAGAATAAAAGTAACAACTGTTATTTTGACTTTCAATGCCAGCATGCCTAAAGCGATTGACTGCATAGCAAAGTCTTATAAATGTCAAATATCTCTGTTTCAGTGTACGTACATTCATATGCATGGGTGTGCAAATTAGTAGCGGTTCTATCACATAATGCATATAGTATATTTTTGTATTATTTTGGGTACAGTGGTCCTTTAAACATTCTGTAGAAAGATTTAGAAAGCAGGGATACATATAAATTTCCCTGGTAAAGAAGCATATTTTCAGTGAAAATGAACTTCCTTCCAACACTGACTTTTTTGTTATCTCCAAGTAGCATTTGTGGTTTTAGATGTAAAAACAATAACAAAAGAATCTTTGTTTGGCACTGTGGCCTGCTGAAAGCGAAAAAAGCACAAAAAGAGAAGATTTCTGGAAATATCATTTAGCTTCTTGGAGTACATTAATACAATTACTGCATTTCTGTGCACACAAACTGGCTTGTGTTACAAATGGTTACATCTAAATACAGGTATGAAATATTGTACTATGGCTAGGACCAAAGATACTCATTGGTTTCCTACTCTCAATTGACTTTTCTTTTTATGCTGCCTTAGAACCAATGTGCCTTCACATATAATTTAAAAGAAGATTTATTTTAGGTGCTTGGGTGCAAGAAAGACTGCCACATCTCAGAAGTACATCTATCAGTGGGCCCCATTCTAGAAACACTCCACAAAGAAAGAACTCTTTCAAACCTTACTTACATTGGGGTACAGCACTAGAATAACTAGGGATCAAGTCCAGGCAGAGAAACACCAAAGAGAATGAAGATGTTTACTAGTTTCTTTAGCCCTGGGGTTCTTACCCTGCATCACATCATAAATAAAACCCATAAGGCACTCCAAGTGAAAAATTTCCTAGCTAAGTTCACTTCCCTGGGACTCAATTATATTACTAAAATACTA